GTCATCCAGATGAACCTCAAATTCCTCAAGTTCCCAAACTCTGATGGAATGGCCATGGGCACAAACTTGTCATTATAGGCCAGACGGAGGATTTCGAGATTAGATAAGCTCCCAATTTCCTTGGGAAAAGTTCCATTGAACTCATTGTTGTGGAGGTACAACGTTTGTAACTCCGATAATTTCCCGATCGCTGCGGGGATATCGCCAAAGAAATAGTTGCCACTGAGGTCTAGGAATGTCAGAGTTTTTAGTCTGTCAATGTCGTCGGGGATTGGACCAGCAAAGTAATTTAGAGACAGGCCGAGGAATTGGAGGCTGGAGCAATTGTACAAAAATCTTGGGAATTCTCCGGGGATGTTGTTGTTTGAGAGGTCGAGAATCGTCAGATTCTTGAGGTCGCAGATCGTTGGTGGTAGCTTCCGGGAGACACCTTTTCCTGACAGAAGGACCTGGGTGACGACGCCATCGGTGCAACGTATCTCTTGCCAATCGCACGGTGACGATGATGAGGTCCACGATCGAAGCGACGGCGGATCGCCTAGTTGATGTTTAACGTCGAGTAGGATGTTCTGTTCGGAGCCTGCGGCCCGAGAAGCCGCACTGGTGGTCACTGAGAAGCTGAGGAAGACGAAGAAATGCACTCGAAACGTAAGAACAAGCAGGTGAATTCTGGTCATTTGAGACTCTCCAATTTGTTGGTCTGGTTTGGGAATTTGCCGGGAAGACATGGCGAAGCCAACGGTCAAAATTTAAACATGGTGAAGATCAGTGAAGTTGCGTTGCGTTGCGTTGCGTTGCGCAGTGGGTACTACTGAGAACTAGGAATTTATAATCGATGGGCAGGTTAAAGAAACACTGTACACGCTTCTCTCAACCAACCTTTCCCACCACTTTCCGTCTACTGCATTAAAATAAAATTGAATCCAGATTAAATTTTTATTTTATATTTATTTTATTAGACTGTTGAGATTTAATTTAAATAGTTTAATTTGATATTAATTTTTATAATTTTTATAAATTATTATTCAAATATACTTTAAATAATTTAGACTCAGCTTCTTCCCAAAATAAAAAATTGTAAAAATTGTTAAAAAATTTACTTCCTTTGTTTAAAAATGTAAAGTATTTTTAATCGAATCTCACCTCCAATAAAGTAATTACTTACTTTTCAATTAACCATATATTTTTATATTTATTTTTATTAAATATCCTATAATAAATATAAAGTCATTATCGATAGGAGCACTTTAAAAAAAATATAATGATTACACCTTAAAAAAATTAAAAATGTCTTATATTTTTTAACATTAACTCCTTAAAAAAACCTCTCTTCTTTAAGCGAGTGAGTATTAATTAAATTTCATAATCAATTTACAAAAATTTTTAATTTAAATATTAAATTAATTTAAAAAATTCAACTTGATAATAAAATAAATTTATTAAAACTTTTGAGTTTTATTTTGGTAAATAAAAAATAAAAAAATAATTTGGACGACAGTTCAGATTTGATTTTAAGGTGATGGTGGGGAAGGTCAGTGGAAAGAGCTGAATCCGAAGCAGTGAGCCATAATGGGAATTAATTGCAATTATGCCACTGAGACTGCGTCACGGGTCCACAGAAAAGGATGATCAGCGGAGGTAATCTAGTCTTACCCTCGTGCTTAAGAGGTCTGTTCAAACACGGAGCGTTGAAACATGGCAGACTAATAATTGTTAACATGTATTTTGCGTGGGCCCATCAGGGCATTGTTGAATTGTATCCCCTGCAACAGCGACAGTACAGGGTGGTTAAAGTAAAACTACACGATCGGTGGAAGTAGACTCGTATCATCATCATTTTCCTCAGAAAATTTAATCTGTTGTTATTTTAATAATTTCTTTTCACTGGAAAGTAAAAAGTTCGAGACTAGCGTTGGGAAATAAACAACAGGCGAGTTGGCCAAGGCCCAAGGGGCTATATTATGCGATGTTCCGGCCCTGTGTAGAATAATTATTTATCTCCCTTGTAGTCCTCATTGAATGTTTTTGTATTCTTTTATTTATTATGGTTATATAATAAAATGATTTTCCTGCTCCGTTTTATAATCATGTCCAGCGCATATGATTGATTACTAGTTTAATTAAAATGGATAAATTGTCCCACTGGCTTAAAAAAAAATCTTGTGCTTAAAAATGTAGAACAAATTTTTAAAAATTTAAAAATATAATCAGTTCACAAAAAGTTTTTCATATATATATAAAGTGTTTGAAATTAAAAATTTATAAGGATTTTATCATTTATGTATAATGATATATTATTGACAAAAACTCCGCCTATGTTTATAGTCGGTCCCAAGCCCGGGTAAAGGAGGAGGGTTGTGTTAGGCCATCAATAGCCAATGTAAAACTTTGTTGAATCTATCATGAACATGGACAATAGACAGAATGTTACGATGGATGTGCGGACATACACGTAAAGATAAAATTCGAAATGAACACATACGCGAAAAAGTGAGGATGGCACCTATTGAGGAAAAAATGATAAAAAATCGGTTGAGATGGTTTGGGCATGTACAACGAAGACCAAGGGAGGCACCAGTGAGAAAAGTGGAACATATAACTTTGAGTCCGATTAAGAGAGGTAGAGGAAGGCCTAAGAGAACACTCTTGGAAGTTGTTGAACGCGATCTCTTAATTAATAATATTCCTAAAAGCTTGATAAACGATAGAACACAATGGCGTCTTGCAATCCATGTAGCCGACCCCACCTAATGGGATAAAGGCTTGTTGTTGTTGTTGATATATTATTGACAAATATAATAAATCAATCACAATATAATAAAAGTTAGAGTGTTTGCTTGATTTGATTTTATAATATAGGTTATATATGTAAAAACATCAATTAAAATTTGAGTTTTAAATGCATAGGATAATTTTTTGAAATAATTAAATAAATATTGTACTATTTTTACGTTATCTCTTTGATGCGCTGGTCCATCTCTCCTTCACCGTCGAACCAGTGCTTTAAAGGTGGGGAAAAACGCACAGCCCAAAACCAGAGCAAACATTGACATCATGTGTACAGCAGTGGCTATTTAAAAAAAAAAATAGATATATATATAGATAAATGTCGGTATTTACTTAAGAAAGATTATCGCACGTTCTACTACCAGATATGAATGATTGTCTAAATTATAAAATGAATTAGGTTGCTGTTTCATGACGATGCCACTGTTTAACTAAATAATGATAATGATGAAGAGTTTCAATCCTTTTTTAATGTGCATCTCAGTCCAATTTAACAAGGTCGGGAATTCATTCATGTTTTCCCTTAAAAAGAAAAACCACGGGGGACTGTGATTTGAATCAGATTTTTTTTTTTTGGCCGGAAACGATTTGGATTAGACTAGATTAGCTACAACCGCCCCAAAAAAAAAAAAGCCACCAATCACGAGGCTGCTGCCTATTTTGTTTTTGTCCAAACCCACCTCTCAGAAAAAGTGAAAAAGAAAATCTCGGGACTCAATTTTCACGGACTTGTGGAAGTTGGTGAAGACGATAATGGCAAGCTGGTGTTACGAAGGTTCACGTTATCAATTTTATATAGTGAGGTCAGGATATTGTTGCTGACTGTGGAATGAGATTGGTAAAGCACTGCCAAAAAAGCATCCATTCAACGATACGGGTATTAATTGCTTTCAACGCATCAGCCCATGAAGTCTTCTCATTGTCATATGCAAAACAGCAAAAGCGTCACTTTTTCTTGTCTGTTGCCCAATTTCCAATTTCCAGGGTTGAAAAACCAAAACTGATTGCCGTGATGCAATTTCCTTCTAACATTGACCTTGATATTATGATTCGATAGCAGTGCACTCCATACAATAAAGGCCATCGAGATTTCTCGCTGAGTGTTACAAATGCCAAGTCTTTCTCATAATAAAAAGGTTGGACAAGTTGGATACCGATAGTTACTAAAAATTATGCATACTTTTAAGTTCAAATAATACTTGTAGTCTATAGTTACAAATTATCTATTAATCATTACATTAACAATGAGATTTAATTTCAAAATTTTGTGAGTTATAACGAAATCCTTACTAACATGATCTATTTATTTTTGTTGGTGTTATATCTGAAGTTGTAGACAGGAAGACAGCTCATAAGACCAGATTGGGCCGACATTCGGAGGCTATGTCATTGTAAAAATGGAACTTTGAAAATGTTCACCTTTTCCTTTACCAACTTCGTCAACAACTTTCGGAAGCGGTCCATGCTATGCACTTGTACGTGAGAAATAGACGGGGCAGCCATTGGTTGAATATGTCATGGCACAAAAAAAAAAAAAAAACAAAAGAAAAAAGGAAGACTAAAGTATATTTTATCTTAAAATTATTTTTTAAGGAACACCCAATGTTCTAAATTATTTATTATAATAATTTCATTCATGAAGTAATTAAAATATAATATATTTATCCATAACATTAAATATTTTAATGTTAGCTGTTAAAAATACTAACTGAAGCTTAAATTTGATTAAAAATATCACTTATTATGCTAAATAAATTTTAGGTTAAGATGTATTTTTGTTCCTAAACTAGATTAACTGACAAAAAAAGGCATTGGCCCTTCATTAACATTAATTTTGAAATAAAAGGCCAATCAGAGATGCTTTTTGAGTTTTTTTCACAAAGTTTTGGTAATGTTGGATTAAAGTTCAATTCTTCATTTCTTAAGGCAGTCAGGTCACTTTTCTTATTATTATTATTTTTTGTTGGTGAAGTCACTGCTTTATTTATGTATTTCACAAAGAATTGAACCATTTTGCGTAACGTGTATTTTCTAACCAGCTGCACCAGCACCAGAATGAAGGCACCACCTTAATTAGTCAAACCAGGCAAAAGGTGAATGATACAATTGTGATCAGGACTCAATCGATTAAAGTTCGAGATATCTTCTTAACACTGAAATATGCATGCAAAAGTAAGAGACTCGAGTTCTCCCCTGCAAAACGAAGCAGAATCTTAAACTGCAACAGAGCTACAACTTCATGCTTCTTAATAGCTCATAGATCAAGGGAAGTAGATACATAGCATTTGGGTCTTGATTACACTAGTTCTCCTGAAGCCAGGCTTAATTAATCTAATGTCACATGACATAAGTGGACTATTGTTTGTACATGAAGGGCTTGTATTTGGAGAGATTGTGGCTGATTCCATGAATGGCACCAACTGCTGCGGCCAGTGAAACAAGGAAGCAAACAAAGCTCAGCAGCTGTAGCGCACACCACTTGAGTGATAGGGTTTTGATCTGTCTCTGGGCAATGTGCATTTGCACGGGGAAAAACACAATGAGAGGCCAGAACCCAATAGCTCCGAGCAGGGCAAGAAACTCATTGAAGAAGGGCATTGCCATGGCCAGAGTTGTGGCTATCATCACAAATACTGTCCTCCAAACTAGCCTAAACATGTTAAAATTGAATGTCACTCTGCCTATTCTGCATGGGTATTCTTTCTGCACGAAATCTGACTCGGGCCACATGATCTTCGCACCCAATTCAACTATGAAAAAGAATGCTTGAGCCATTAACTGTCATTGAATATTGATTTCTCACATCAGACAGACATTATAACAATGTAGATGTGTCTTAATCCTTAAAATTTGGAAAATAAAAAGATCTAACCTGATATGCGCCCAGAATGTGGATGACAATGCATATATTTCCTATGTCGACCAGCCAGAAGGGATCGTAAAATCCAAAGCCGGTGAGCATGTTGCCCGGTGTTTGGTCCCCAAAAGCAGCATAGCCAAGGCCACCGCATGCAAGGAAGAGTGCTGTCATTGCTGTGATCCCTAACACGTTAGCCTTTTTCATCTGTTTGCACTCCGCTGGCGATGACTTCAACGTGTCCTAAACAAAGCACAGAGATAATCCATTTCACAGAAGTCATGACTGATCATAATCCCAATGCTGTGTTCTCTTCAGATTATTATGATGACAGTAATAAACGCTTGCCTTACCATAATATCAAAAACAACAGTAGCATAAGAGCAAGCAAGAGCTATGTTCCCCATTGCACTGAAAATTCTCCACATTTTATCTTCTTCAGACAGTTCAGGTCCTACTTCTACTCCTGTTACACTGGTTGGCCTTCCCTGTCCTGCTCACATCCAAATGACATTCCATTAATGTGCCAATACTAGTGCAGATGAATGTATTATAATTAATGATAAAAATTACCTTGGACGAGGACAGCGAGAGAAAGGGCACTCCCAATTAAAGCATAACCAAAAGAGGTGATACAGGCAATGGTTGAGAGCCAGGTAAGCTCGTGGAAATTAGGAATTTGAGACAAGATTATCTGGAGGATGCCAAAAGCAGCCATGAAAGGATTGTTGGAAAATTTGCAATAAGCTTGATGGCCTTTCTGGTGGAAGCACCCAGCTTTCTTGATAGCCCTGCAAGACCATAGAAGAAGAGAAGAGAAGAGACTTCACTGAACTGCAGTGATGTAAACATGAGCAGAAGTGAGGATGGATATTGTGACCAACACTAAGCTGGTGGAGGTGGTGATGGTGTAGCCAACAGTAATTCCGGCGAGCTTGGAATACTGGACGAAACCGCAGGCCAGGTGCATGCGGCCGCCCAAGTAAGACTTGACGGCCTGCATGTAAGTGTAGTTTCTGGTGCCGGAGACAGGGTGGGGATATCTGTAGCAATCAGCAATGAGACCGTAAGTGAAAATGGAGATGCAGGAAAAGGTGACCATAACGCCTATTCCTCCGATCCATCCTAGTTGGGCCATCGCCCACGGCAGTGCCAGCACTCCTGCTCCGACCACCACCGTTATTATGTGCGTCGTCGCCGTCAACACATTCCCTGCATGCCATTCATATGTTATTTATTCATCTTCCACTCATCCCTGTTCACCTTTTTGATCTTCTTTGTGAATTACGAACTCAACTAGAGCTGACTGAAATGATTGAGCATATAGTAATTGTTTTTGGAAGTTCTGCTTGCTGTCATCAGTGGGGAACAGATTTTTGCTTGATAAAACGAAACAAAGACTCAACAACAGTACTAATTTCCTGTAAAAGAATTACATTTAAAGCAGGGGGAGGGGAGGGTGAAACAGATTAATCTGAAGCTTCAATTTGTTTTACGAAGTTTTTTTTTTTTCTTATCCGGATATTTTTTGTTCGCACTAAATTATTTCTACCCTGTGAAAACAAAATCACTGAACGGGCATGGCATGATGACCCACGAAACGTACACACTTTGCCCTTGTTCTTTGCTTTAAATAATCCATTATACGCATGAACATGATTAATGTTGGGTTGAATTTTAGATATTGTTGGTTGAATTGTTTTTATCGATATAGGTATAGATTTTTTTTTGACCAAAATATAGGTATAGATTCAAAAAGAATTTATAAGTAAATATATAGAAAAATCTATTGAATTTTGTTAAAATTATACTTTTAAAATTTAAAGTGTTAAATTTAAAATAAAGTTAGTCATATTAGTTTAAATTTAAATTTATTGATTAAAATATTTTCCCTGAACAGCTGAAATAAATGCATATGTTTATAAAAAGTAAAAAAATAAAACAATAGTATTTTATAACATATAATTTTTTCAAATTCAAATAAAGTTATTTTATATTAAAAATAAAACAAATATAATGTCTGGGTTACAAAGAAAAGTTTACGGTGACATTAATTGTTTTAGGAAACGACATACTCCTATAATTTTAAATATTGAAATTTAGATTTTTTTTCCCCCAAATAGCCGAACACCTAAATAACTAATATTACATGTAATTTCATATTAAAATAATTGGGAAATTTACACATTGTTTCCATGGAGCATATTCATTTATAAATAAGTCTCGTGAAATTTAAAAACCACAATTAAATTATTTAAAACCTAAGTATAATTTGAAGTTGAAGTCACGCAACATCAATGCCTCTATTAAAAATGCATTACATCAATTACATAATTCATAACTACTTTATTAATTATTTATAACTATCATTTTTATTTTTACAACACTAACTTAACATATCGTATAACTAAAGTGCTAAACTGATAATGTATTATTAAAAAATTTAATACTAATTATTTACAATTATTTTATCGATAATTTATAATTATTACTTTAATTTTTTATAACTATAATTTTACACATCTAATAATTAAATCAATTATGCATTATTAATAAAGTTTAATATTAATTATTTACAATTATTTTATTATTAATTTATAATTATCAATTTAACTTTTTATAATTATAACTTTACATATCTAATAATTAAAAGTTTAAATATTTGATGTAAAAAATTAAAATTATAATTATATAAAATTAAAGTGATAGTTATAAATTATTAATAAAATATTTGTAAATTATATAATTGATGTAATATATATTTTCAATAAGGATATTATTATTTTTATACCATAATTTTAAATTAAATTTAGTTTCATTTTGCTGTAGTTTTTAAATTTTATGAACTTTATTTATAGATAAGTGCACTCTACAAGATTTACATGTAATTTTCTCAAAATAATTTCCCCTAGGCGAGACTCGAACCCTATGGATTTAATTTGTAGTGAAAGCAAAAAAATTAACAACGCAGAGGGATACGAGAATAATGGAAGACAACAGACACCAAGCAATTGCGACCCGATACTAACTTTCCAACTTATAATAATCTCTACTCTATCTTTCAAATGAAAAAAGATTCAACCCAATCGCATAAAAGAACATAGAATGTGCAGGTCATGCCTAGTAAAAAAAGGAAAGACATGAGATCACTGGAGACTAATTGCTGAACATAAAAAAACCAGAGAAAGAGAGACGAACCAGTTCTTCTGGGCTTGCCATCGTCATCGACTTGCGAAGCGATTTTCCCGTCCGGTTCAATTTCCATTTCGATACCTTCTCGCAAGTCGCAACTCTGGGAAGTGAGAAACGCGATGTGGCTGCACACAAACGGGCGACGCGAGAGGCGAGACGCGACTGACCTTTACTGACGTATATATACACTCACACCCACGCCCACACTATACTTGTTGAAGTCGTGATAAGGTGACCACAATGCACATTCATTGCTTTATGGACTGTTGCCTTTCAGAAATTAAATGACCTAATTTTTTTTCTTTTCCTTATGGACTATAGTAATTGGGCCACGGAATTTTTTCGCGTTTGGATCAAGCTGAAAGAGACTAGACTCCGACCATATTGCGCGTGGTCGTGGACCCGGCACGGCGGCACCCTCCGTGAATGTAGACTTTCTGCATGCACATTTTTTTAGTTGACTCGTCAATCATTATTCTAATACGTGTCCTCCGACTCGGGGTGCTTATGGTTCTAAAATTTTTGTATTTTTTTAAATGATTTATCATTTTCAAATTTTACTAACCGTCTATTGAACTTGTTAGTGCTCGGTTGTATCGAGAATTCAAGATAGTGGAGGAGTCTCTAATCCTTGTATTATTTGCTGGTTGACAATGTAATTTTTGGCTGTGCCCTGTTTTTCACGAAAAAGAAACATTAATTCCTCCTTTTTCGAATATGTTCTTCATGTAATAATGAAAGAGAGCATTCAAGGGAGTACTGATACTGCATCGCGGGAGGGGATGTTCAAAAATATCTTGGTAAGGCTCCCACCATTACAACAACAACAACAACAATAACAAGCATTTATCTCACTAGGTGGGGTCGGCTATATGGATTGCAAGACGCCATAAAAAAAATATAAAATATTTTTTGAGAAGTTGAATATATTTAAAAATATAAAATATTTTTAATATTTTAAATTATAATTGTTGCATTTTTTTAAAAATGGTCTTAATGAATAAGTCATTTTATATTTATTTTAGAATGACATAATTTATTAAATAAAGATAAATATAAAAAAATAATATTAATTTAAAGATAAATAATTACTTTATTAAAGGTGACATGAAATTAAAAATATTTTATATTTTTTAATAGAGAGAATATATTGAAAGAACTTCTTCCCCTCCCACCAGCCACCACTCTTACTATATGAGCCTTTTTTTTTTTTAATTCATTTCCAGCCAAAACACCACGCTTGTGTATCTTCAATGCCCATTATACTTTTATTGTATGTTTGTACTCAATTGAAGATATGAAACAAATAAGATCTCAAAATATCAAGTCAAAGATAATTAGGTTTTCAATTTTTTAAAATTTGCATTACAAATATATGAATAAATTACTCTCTAAAGCTTTAAGTCAAATACCATTACAATTTTTGAACTTATTTACCGTGTAAATTGTTCCTTTAATTTTTAAAAATGATAAAAATTAACTTTGATCATTAATTAATTATAAAATAACATAAAAAACTTTAAAATTTACATTAAAAGATCAAAAAAATAATTAATGATCCAAAAATTAGAAAAATTACCAAAAAATTACCGTAATTAATAATTAAAATTAACTTTTATTAACAATAAAAGCCACATTGCACTGCTTTTAAAAGTTAATAAAATAATTTTACATGTTCAACAAGTTTAGAATTTATGGTGTTACTTGATTTAAAATTTAAAATATAATTTACTCATTTACCCTTATAAATGTTAATTTAAATTGAGAGTTATATTTAAAATTTAAATAACTTATTTATAATTAAAATTTTTACATTTATAGTTATTTGAACTAAAGATTTATAATTTATTTAAAAAAAATGTGAGAACCTAATTATAGCTGGGTAAGAATTTGTGGCTTAAACACCGAAACCAAAAAAAAGGTTGGTCATATCACTGTGGCCGCGAAAGAAGGCCAACGCATGGCCATCCCATGGGGCATCCTCCGGCCAGGAAGAAGACAAAAAGAAGGGACGGAGATTTTCATGTGATGGAGCATAGGGGTGCTGGCCCCCTCAGTTCTCCACTCTCCATCTCATAGATCATCTAAATTCATTCCGAACAGTTTATATTAAAAATCATTATTTTATATAAATAAACTAATATTAATCTCAAGGGTTTATAAGCATACCAAGGAAAGCCGGCGAAGCCCGCTTGCAATTTAAGTATGAAAATGCTTAAACAAATGGCCTTCTAAACCAGCGTATTTAAATTCGTTTATATTTTTTTAATAAAAAGATTATTAATGTTGAATAAATAAGTAGGGAGAGGATTTAAATATGAAAAAATATTTTAAAAATAAAAAAGAAAATCCTAGCCTAGATAAAAAAATATTGTTTTTTACCATAAAAAACTAACTCATAATGAAGTGCAACCAAATATTGTTGATTTTAAATATGATAATCATCGTGGTGATGCTTCTAATATTTTGTTGTTATTGTTTTATCAATATTTAAAGAAAATCTGTTTAGCTTATTTGGTTTGGTTGTGGGAATTTGAGCAATGAATTTATATTTTAATAAGTTGATATTTAATATTTGTAATCTAATTTATTTTATTTTCATATATTTATTTTTAAGAAAAATTAAAAGAACTCAAAGCCCTCAAGGTTGGCTTTGAACCCATGAGCTTTAGAGTCAAACTCTACAAATCAAGGTCTCAAGGTGAAAATGAGTTTTCTACGCTTGAGTCTATCAAGGGCAAGTCTTTTAGAACCATGACATCCCGTCTTCCCATCTCCAAAGATGAGCATTGAAATTGTTCCTCTTCTTGCACCCATCCTCCCCTGCCCTCCCCTGCCTTTTAGGAATATACATCCTTTCCTATTTCTTTAATATGCATGCGGCGTGCACGTGTGTGATATATATTCAATATTCATTAAGAAAATGAATTCCTTTGGATTTTTGTTATATTTTTCTTAAAAAAATTCAAATATGAACAATAAAACAATAATAAGAAAAAGTTAGATAATAACAATGTTTGAAAGGAAAAAAAGAAGCAGTGAAAAGGTGTGATGAATACATTGACCTACACTAGGAGATAGACTTCTCATTGAAATGATGGAAAAGATACACAATGTCATGAACTCAGGCATTTAGGGAAAGACTCCTAACTTCATCTTTTAACTTAGATCCGAATTAGAGAAAATGGATCCTCCCAAGGTCATCCAAATCCTAATTCCAACCTTTGCAATATTGGTGAATCTAATAAAGCAAGCTACAAACACATGCAATGGTAAATCCTTGCGAATTCAAACGAGGACATTTCTTGAACATCATGCCATGCAAGTAAACTTCATCCGATCTAATTCTCAATGCTAAGAAGATTGCTCCATGCTTCTTGATCTTCTAGCATTTTATCTTCCATGAATATGTTAGAGTGTTAGATCTAATCAAAGCCCTCATAATGTTTTCATCTACTATTCTCAATCTTAGAAAAGAAATCTTGACTTTATTAAGAGTCGAGGTTTTTGAAATTTGAATATTAGAGTTTGAATCGCAAGTCATTTTAATGAGAGCAATTTGACTCTTGAATTCCTAAATGACCTAATAAGCAAGGATTTTGATTCTCTTATATAGAGCTAGATTTCTTTCATGACAAATAAGATGAACTAAGGTGAAAATACCTTCAAGAAGGAAAAACTCTATACCCTTTGATCAAAGCATTTGTAATACTCTTGAGCTATGGGATGAAGCCTTGTTCTTCCAAGAAAGAAGAGATGGAAAGAGCGCTAAACCAGACAACCCTTGCCAAAGGGCATTCACAAAAATTGTTGAATAGCCTTGCGAAAGGTCTAATGCCTCACGGCCAAAAAACAAAGTAGAGAGGAATTAAGATGATGAGAATGCAAAATATCTCCTGTACGAATAACCTTGTGAAACAATTTCCAAATAAAAAAAAAAGTTTTGTGAGGAAGAAGCAGCTTCTAAAAAGAAGATTATATAACATCCATAGGAGGAATAGAAGGCCTTTATCTTTCAAATAAAGCTCGATTATGCTTTCTAATGAGATTTGAAGTTGTAAAGATGCCTTTTCAAAACTAAGAAACATTATAAGACAATTGAAGTGAACGTTCATTGGGGATAGCAAACTATTTCAACTTTAAAGTATTGCCCATAGGAGAGTGATTTAGAGCACATGATACGCCAAACTTGTTTAACTAACAAGGCAAGATTCATATTCTTGGTATTTCCGATACCCAAACCCCCATATTTGATCAGGCACAAGAGAATATCATTTTTTGGTAAGATAAATATTCTTTTTACAATCATTAAAACCTCAGGAAAAATCAACAAGTTTAGCATCAATGCCGTGACAATTTTTTGGGAAGTAGTAAACCGAAAAGAATGTAAAAAGGATGGAATTTTTTTCCCTTTAATTTATGGCTAAAAAAAAAGTACCCAGCTTTAATTTACTGAACTCGAATTCTCTGCCATATTCTTTCTCTCTAACACAATTATTCTTTTGTTAGTGAATAAAGGATTCAGCTTCATTTATTTCAATCCGAGCATTAGAGCAACGCCCGATATCATGGGTCGGGCATGATGTTTGATATACTTATATGGTAAATGATTAAATCATAACCTTCACGATATCATTCATTTTAAAAACAATGAGAAAACGTTCATTATCACGGTTCTAACAATGAGAATTAAAATTTGACCCAAAAAGAAGAAGAAGAAGAAGAAGAGGGGGAGGAGGAGAGTGAAAAATTGCCACAATTTGCTCAAGCGGCCATGAAAATTTTAAAACGTGTGGATTAGCATTTCGCGGTTTGCCATGAAAATTTTAGGAACCGTGGCAGCTAACACGGTTTTGTGGTGAATCTGCTAATGTTCTGTTGAAATAAAGTGCAATCAAAATTACAAAATCAATATGCTGAGCTTGCTTGAACGTTTTATAGGCAATGTTCCAACAAAATTTGAAAAATTACTAACCATTGTTTTGGATGTGGAGAAAAGGAGGAAACAAATCTGGGACTAATTCCATCATATATTCCTTCTAATTTTCTTTTCATTCAAATAAAGCATAATAATTAATATTACCGCTACACACATTTTCAACGTTTCATTGGAATGGGAACAATATCTATTCCTTTTTAGTCCCTAATAA